TATTGTATAAACTTGCAATATCTGTGTCCGGAATTAGTTTCATGACTGTATATTGTACATAGCAATCGAATCATATATAATTATGAAGGCACCAGGAAGTCGGTTCTTTTTTCTTTTATTCAAAATGCGACAATAATAAGCGAAAAAATGAACCAAAGTTCAGCTGAAAAAAAACAAACTTAGAATTAACATTATAAATGCGCGGTAAAAGAAATCTGCGGTAAAAAGAAACTTGCAAAGAATTTTCCGAGAATTGCAAATTTCCATTCAAGGCAAACATAATATTTATTAAACTCTCAATAGAAAATTCTGATCAATTGTTTCATCAGGAAACAACGTGGGTATCGTTTTTTGATACGTGTACATAAAACTGTTTCATTGCACGAGAAAATGACTTATATTATTCAAACAGCACGCAGTTTTTCTAAACATCTATTCGTTCTCTTAAAAAAACGGGAGTGTATCGCAAACGTCGATATATCGCACGGACGATCAAAGAAATTGTGTGAAGTTTGCGGAAGGAGGCCGCGAGTTTTGCGGCGAAGTGTGTCAGAGAGAGAATCGTCAATTCTCATCGGCCGCCCCACCGTCGTTTTCGCTCGTACGGCGAATCTTTTGCTCGGCCACGTGGATGAGGATACCGCTATCTTTCCGTCGTGGTAGCGAGACATCTCATCGAATCAGTGGGAGAATATTGGATAAGTACTGGTCAGCTCTGCCTCAGTCTTGACATTGTATGTGTAGTGTATACCAATGCGTACGTGCCTACGCGCGCGCGCGCGCGCGGAAGCGTCGCCGATAGTCCCCTAATTCCTGTAACTATTCCGAGCAAAGCATCGATCGCGACCGCGTTTTCGCAAGCGGCAAGCAGAACGCAGTATAACGCCGGCAGTCATCGAGGTGGTGCGAGGCAGAAAGCTCATCGAACTCGTTGCCCTTCCGGCGAATGTAACCTTGGTTGATATTTTCGTCCCTAACCAATCTGATCCGCTCTCAGTATCGTGCTCACCGATCCAGTCGACCTTGTCCTTCGTTCCTTTCATTCGAAGACATTGCTGTATGCATTTCAGACGTGATTAAATACGGTTGTCGCTATCGTCGCGCGCACGTTTGTTGATGATTCGCTCGCCTGAGACGAGAATATAGCTGTCGTATCTCCGGTGAAGAACGGAGTTCGTCGTTCGTCGCCGGATGATCAGGAGATCCGGAAGAAGAGTCAGTTGCTGGTAAAGGTCGAGTTCAGGTGAGAAAGTGAGAAAGTATCGTGGTACGATCGTCTCGTGCATTGAAGTATGAAACGCCGGAGAAAGCTGTATGTGTCGCGATGAAATTCTATGCAGTTCGGATCTGAATTTTCCCGGTTAGAATTAATTATCTTTTGTTTTTTTAAGTCGTGCCGGACGAAAATAAAATTAGCTATGTATAGAAAATGATGAAGCAGTAATTTTAATTCATTCGAAGACTTTTGATTAATGTATTAGATTCTCTTACAGAAAATTAATACTGAAAGATATTAATTAACTATTTATTAAGTAGCGCAATGTAAAAAATTATATACTTTATAATTTCAATTTTCGTCCATCTGTCTGATTATCTATTTGAAAAATTTCTGGAAAACAGTTTATGCCCGTTTCTTTCAACATAGATTAAGTTTAATCTTGATTTTTAACTTACTTTTTATTTTTTTAATTCTAAAAATTAGAAAAAAAGATAAAAAGTAAATGAAATTGAGATTAAAGTTAATCTACATTGGTTAATCTTGGTTTAGTTTACTCTTTATTTTTTTGTAGTTCTAAAATTAAGAAAGGCTAAAGATTAAATTAAATCGAGATTAAAGTTAATCTACCATCGATTAATTTTGATTTAACTTACTTTTTTTTTTAGTTTTAAGAACTAGAAAAGGATAAAAAGTAAATCAAACCTAGGTTAATTTATATTGAAATGGACATTAACTGTTTCCTGGTTCTGTTTTTGGAAATACTCAAGAATCTTATCTCCTTTTATATATGAATCAAACCAGTTGATCATGAAAGATCAAAGTCGACGAGATTTTCAGTTCAAAGCAAATCGAACGACTTAACTTTTTCAAATTCTAGTAGTTTGCTGTATTACTTTAATATATCTGTTGCAACAGTTTATTTTGAGTGTTGAAAGTATTGTTGTTTAGTGCTTTTAGTACTTAAAATGAATAAGATAATTAATCATTATCTTTTAGTATTAAATTAGTATTAAATTAGATAGTATTGAATTTCTATGAGGTTTATGTTAAAAATATACTGATATATTTATATAGTTCTCTGTCACAAACTTGAAAATATAAGAGACAAAATTTTTTCTTTTAAAACACGTTATCTAACGTATTAAATATTATCACTGTGCACGTGAACGTAAGAAATCTACAACATGACAACGATAGGACTTTGCTCCGCATGAAAAGCTTTGATTTTTTTCTGTGACGACGATCGCGACGAATACTGATTGGATTGCCAATGATCATACGATGAATAAATATTATATGTTAATGTTTGAATTGCGTGTATGATAACGGAACACTTTTTTCACGTTTGTGCTTATCATTCTGTATTTCAAAAGCATCTGCGCGTCTCTATATGATAGGTACGTACGTGAAAGATAAGCGTGCACTTAGAAAAATAAAAATGTAACAAATGAAAAAGAAGAAGTATTAAATATATTTGCTTAATTTAATCGCGGTTGAACAATCAAACACGGATACACGATCGGATACACTTTATCTCTCAAGGTAAATGATTTAAAAAACCATTGAATTGTAAATTACTTCATCTGAATTATATTAAAAAGCTAAATTTAAGCTCATTTTTGCATAAACGTCAATTTTTATAGATAATCGATATTTATAGAAGGACAATTGATCGTGCGATTGATGTATTTTTTCACAAATAATACTTATGGAATATATCATTTATATGAGACCTTATCTCTATCGCCTGACAGGAAATATATTACGTAAGAAAATGAAATCTAAGCAGAAAAATATAGTCACAGAAAAATATGCCTCAGACTTAAGACAGTATGTAGTATATATATAATAATAATACCCCTCTTATGATAATATATATATAATCAAGGGGATTAATCAAGTCTGAAGATTTACATGTTAATTAGGTTACATGAACAACATTTTTCAAGGTAAAGCAAGCAATATAAAAATGGCGAATGGCGGCGAATGAAATTACCAATGTGATGGTTGATATGACTGATATGATACGAGGTCATGGAAGCCAGATTGGCAGACTTCTTGCAACAATCAACTTCTTGTTTACAACAATCATGCCAGACGATAGTTTGCTAATTCAAAATTTAAATTTAGCTTGTTAATATAATTCAGATGAAATAATTTACAATTCAATGATGGTTTTTTAAATCATTTACCTTAAGAAATTGTCAGATCGTGTATCCGCGTTTGATTGCTCAACCGCGATTAAATTAAGCAAATATAAACAACTCATACAGCATATTATTCCAATATTCCAGCAATATTATAGTAACATTGCAATGTTTAAGTAGTATCGCAGTAACATGTATTTCAAACGTTATAATATTACTGCTAGCTTCTGTACTGTATGGGAAAATTGAATCATCTATGTGACACACATATGGTATTGCATACATTTTAGAATGGCGCTAATCTGGTGGGAGAAGATATTTCTGTTGATAATAGCACTGATCAGTTTGAGGATCCTCATTAAAGTCGGAATTTTAACGTGGAAGAAACTGATCGCTCCGACTTTCGGATTTGGAATACATTTTCGAACACAGGGGAAATGGGCGGTGGTAACTGGTGCGACAGATGGCCTTGGGAAGGCATTTGCTAAGGCCCTTGCCGAAGAAGGTATGGATATCGTTTTGGTCTCTCGGTCCTTGTCCAAGTTGAAGGACGTTGCAACTGAGATCGAGCAGAAATATTGCGTGGAAACTCGTGTCGTGGAAGCTGATTTAACCGAAGGCCAGATAGTCTACGCGGAAATTGGCAAAGCAACGCAGGATTTGGAGGTAACAAATCTAATGTGATTCATTGTAAATTTCAAACAAATTGATAGGAATAGTTCACAGAGATGTATGAACAAAGAGATCGCTTTTTAAAAAAATATATATACAAAAAAATGTAAAACAAATTAATTTAGGTTTTAAATAAATCAATAAATAATAATAAAAAGCCTTTCCGAGCACAAGTTAACGTGTATAAAAAAATAAAAAAATTTCTTTTCCTCAAAAATTTAAAAGATTTGTTTAATGAAAGAGAGAGAGAGAGAGAGAGAGAGAGAGAGAGAGAGAGAGAGAGAGAGAAAGAGGGAGATAAAGCGAAAATAATTAAGAGATGTTTTCCAATAGGTCGGTGTTCTTGTGAACAACGCTGGCGCAAGCTACGACCATCCTGAAATGTTCACGAATGTGTCGGAAGAAGTTCTCGCGAGAATACTGCAATTGAATGTGGCCGGAGTAACCGGGGTTGCAAGAGCGATTCTCCCCGGTATGCTGGAGCGAGGGAAAGGAGTACTCATCAACGTGAGTTCGACGGCCGCGGCTATACCCAGCCCATATCTGTCCGTTTATGCCGCCAGTAAAGCGTACATCGATAAACTCAGCGCCGATTTGGCTACGGAAGCTGCGCCGAGAGGCGTCACCGTTCAGTGTGTTCTACCCGGCCCGGTCGCCACGAAGATGTCCAAAATCAAGTAAGAATCTCTTACATAATGAACTCGCGCGGTTTCCGAACTCGAAAAGTGAAATAATTTTAATTCTATTTTATTTTTCAATAATCTCAGAATTTGAAATTTTTCTGACATCGATTGTCGTCGCTTCATATCTTTTCTTTTCTGTAGGAGACCGTCGTGGATGGCACCCAGCCCGGAGACGTTCGTTAAAGCGTCACTGAGAACAGTCGGCATCGAATCACGCACGACCGGATATCCACCGCATTCTTTGATTATCGGCTTCATAAACGCATTGCGTTACATGTGCGAGCCGGGCGCGGTGTGGCTGGTGGCGAAAACAATGCTTAATTTAAGGAGACGAGCCCTTTACAAGAAGACGAAACCCACAATAGTGCGGGAAGTCGCGGAGGGGAACGCTTTATAGTTGTCTCGTGCGTTTTGTAATGTAGTTTCTCATTAACGAATAGAGCACACAGAAAAGCGTTGCAGTGAGCAATAAGCAACTCGATCAATCACGATTAAGGACGTAAAACAATAATGTTTATTTGCTCATTGCTTACGTTTTTCTATGTGCTATTTTTTAGCATAATGCGGCGTATTCCGTCAGTCGTCCTCGAATTGCTTTTTGTTACTGCTTCGCATTTAGTTAAATCTTTTGATTGCTATTTCTTTACATTCGAGTCTATAATATAAGTATCTGTTTCTCAAAGATTTCTCTCTCAAAAATAAATAGTTTTGCAATTTTTTTCCTGTTGTCTTGACGACAAGGCAAATTCATAACGAAGAGGACAAGATTTTGTGAAGACGATTTTTCTGAATGGCATAAATTGGACAGAAAAATATATGCATATCTACGCATTAAGTGCACTTAGAAATATGATTGTTATCTTATTTTATTTGTAAAACTC